CAAATCTATTTATCGTCTGTCATCTCTCGCATCTGTTTATCTATACACATATATACCTACCTCCTGTCAGTTCTGTTTCTCTAAAGAACTCTGACTAATACAACTAGTAACAAAGAAATGAACAATCAGGAAGTACTAATATATGCACCAGGTATGTCACTAGACTCTTCATTCGCTCACTTACGGAATAACTCTCCAAGTGCCTAATGTGTGCCATGTACTGTGCTAAGCACAAGGGACAAAAGGTCCAAGAAGATTTGATCCTCCAACAATGGTCTGCATCAAAACTCCATAAAGACCATTATTATCCTCACTTTACAGAAAAGGAAAAACAGTCTTAGGACAAATCTGGGGACTTATCTAAGGTTACACAGGTAAACTGGCAGACCTGGGCCTGGTGTCCAGGCCTGTCTGAATCCAGGTGCTACACTCTTTCTATTAGTACATGGCTGCCTCCTATTGACCCAAAATTCTGGAAGAAATTATTTGAACAAATGGTCAGAAAGCACTTGGAAAAGAAGGTGGTAACTCTAGGTGCCAAAATATGCCATGTGGATTTGTCTTCAGAAGGGTTTCTTGCACCAGCTGTTAGAAGTGCTGTTGGCAGACAGCCTTCTACTGTCAACACTTGAGGATCCGACTCAGCTGCAGAGAGCCACCTTGGCCAAGGTCATGCCCTTTCTTAGCCTGCCCATACTGGGGTACAGTATAAAGGTTATCCATCTCAGCCCAACTCAGAACAACCCTGAAGGGTCATTCTAGCTCAAGAGTTCCCCATGTGATTAGCTTAGGCTGTTGTTGGATGTGCAAAACAGCTTAACCTCTCCCTCTGCCCACCCTACCCTATGGGTGTCGAGCCCAAGATCACTCCTTAACAAACATCCTGCACACCAGATCTGGAGCTGGCATCAGTAAGCTTCATGCTTCATGGAAAACCTGCTAAGAATAGGAGGGACTTTGTCCTTTTATCATCCTTCAAAGAGCACAACTATAACATGAATGAAAGTTATAAAGAGACAGCATTTGGGTTTAATAAATTTCTTCCAACAATGAAACAGACTTTCTCCAAAAGCAGTGCACTTTGTAAGGCAGAGGGGGTCCTCTTACTGTTGGAGGGGTCTGTATCAACCAAGCAGGTTGGTATCTTACTTAAATGTGTTTCTTTTCACCTTGCTGCTGGCTAACACATAGCACAATGTCACTGGTATTTAGAAATTAGTGACTAGAAATCTTTAAAAGGAAACTTCCTAGTTTCAGTAGGTTCTGAGAATAATTTTAAGACAAATAGGGAAAAAAACCTCATTTCCCAATAATTACTCAAATTAATCTGATATTACTTAACTGGGACAGAAGTGGCACAGACTCTGCGTCAATGTCCATCAATATCCATTCACTCCTTTGTCTTTTAGTAACAGAACCCTGAATTTTAGCTGGTTATATGTGTATCCAGCCAAAGACTACATTTCCCAGATTCCCTTGCAACTAATGTGGCCATGTGACTAAGTTATGGCCATTGGGATCTGGGTGGTAGTGATGGGTACAATTTCTGACTTAAACCTTTAAAGGAAACTGCTTGCCTTTTATGTTCTCCTTCTTCCATCCCAAGGCTGGAACATGGAGGTGTTTCATGGTGATAAGGCAGCAGCACCCTCAAAAAGGTGGAGCAATAATACAGAAAGGCCCCCAGTTCTCGAATAACCCCTGGAGCAGGACCCTACTATGCATCTGGACTGTGTACTGGTTTTGACTCTTTTGCGTGATAGAAGTAAACCATCTATTTTGTTAAAGTCAAAACCATTTTGGTTTCTGTTAAAGTAGCTCTACCTATATTTTAACTCATATAGACCCCAAATCAATGACCAAAACTGGGGTGATTTTCCTTCTTTACCCTATCAGCGTGGTATCTCATTAGGAGACTACAACATGATAAGAGTAGAAGTGAACATCTTTTGCCTGTGAGTTAACTTCTGCATCTTCCCCTCTTCTTTTTCGGTGCTCTGCCTTGTCCTGGCCCATATTATACTTGATTTCTATATAAAAATCAAGGGCCAAGGTGAGGTCTGGACTGAAATTATGTTTATTTGTTTATACAGTAGGATTTTTGCCAGCAATGAAACTCTGATTTTCTATGTTGCTGAAGCTTTGTTTTGAGGAGGAGTAATTTTCAAATAGGTTTATTTATACTATACATACACATAGATATATATGATTCATTCATCCATCCATCCACCCATCCACTCATTTCATTCATTTATTGAGTCATTTGATCATGTAGCATATAGAGGAAAACTACCTAAATAAAATAAAAACCAATTCATGATAAATGGGTTACAATTCATTGATACATACTTGTAGATAAATGAAAAGAACAAGTGAAACACAACTTTTTCTTAAAATTCTTCAGAAGAAACAGAAATCAGAAATTCAACATAAAGGGAGGGTATAGCTCAGCGGTAGACTGAGTGCTTGGCATGTATGAGGTCCTGGGTTCAATTCCCAGTACCTCCATTAAGGATGAGTAAGTAAGAACCTAATTACCTCCCCCTCAAAAATAAAAAAACATTATTAAAATTAAAAAAAAGAAATTCGCCATAAGCCATTGTTATGAATAGCTTACCACTTGGAATTTCCTCTATTTCTGTTAGTGTAATGATTTTGTAGCATAAGAACCATAGCCTCAATGAAATATTCTGATATATCATTAACTGGTGTAGGTCCTATTTCTCTTTTTTTTTTCGGAATTAAGTGTAGATGTATGAATGTCTGATTATTTGGCTGGAAACATCTAAAAAAGTTGTACAAAGCGTTCCTCATTTTTATTATGGCACTAACTGGATTTTGAAAGGTTATTTCTATTTATCTGGACTTGGAGATAAGGTTTTATATCTGTCATTTGAGAAATACAGGTTCGCATGGGTTATCTAGAAGAGGGCAAGTATTCTAAAGCCAAGAATACTTTTTTCAGTTACAATCTCTCTTTACCCTTATGTTTACCCAGAAATAGGCTTACCTTTCCCTAAAGTAGCAATAACTGCTCATTTTCTTACATTAAATGTCAAAATCACAAATATTTGGGAATCATAGTAATGGCAGAGCCAGGTTCTCACATTAGAGGGAGCCGGCTGGGAGTGCAGGGCAGTAGTGGTAGGGGGTCCCAGGCTCCCCTGGTTTGTGGTGCTCCTGGTCTGCAGAAACAGCCTAACTCTGTGATTACTTTCTCTGAGTGTCTCCATCTAGTTCTCACACGATTTCCCTAGAAGCTTTTTATCAGTCTTAACCACATTATATCAATCTATCACTTTAAAATAGGTGCTGGGCAGAGCTCAGAATAACAACCAGTCTTCTTGCTGCCCCCTCAGCAGCATCGTATCTGGTTGGAGAAATAACTGCCAGATGACTTGGGCACACATCTTTCTGATAGAAGGGATTTCTTTCGTAGATTCAACTAGCTTTCAGCAAATTTATACCGCATGTCTGAGATTGTTCTGGTAAGTTTTCTTTCATGTAACTTTATTCATTTAATGCCATGAACTGGCCTTCTTACACTTATCCACGTAGCTTCCAAATGCCCACTGAGTTTATTACATCCCATGAAGAAGTGGATATAAATTGGTTTCAGGCATTTAAATACATTTTCCCAATTAATAAAAAAATTTTTAGTAAGTAAAAAATGACTTGAAGGATATCAACTGAAAAATGAAAGTGTGTGCATTTAAAATGCCCCTACTGCTAGAAATCACCTGCATGACAGACCAATGTGTGAGTTTAAAATCTGCACTCTCCACTGCAGAAGGGAAAGAAAAGGCATGTATTTCATGTCTCCCTTTTCAACAATACATCTTAAGAAGGCAAGTGAGTATATGATTAAAAATTACCTGATATACTATTTGCTGTGGTCGATTATTATTAGCAGTCATGTTAGTTGACTCTTAACAGTAGTGGTAAAGGCCATTATAAGCACTAAGCACTAAAAAAGGCATCGTTATAGACTCGGTTCACACCAGGCAGGCAACGGTTATTCCCAAAGGACAGGTGATTCCAACTCCTTTAGAAAGGCTGGTTGAGATATTTCCAGAGCATCTCAAAAATGGTTCTGCACGTATTAACTACCTCGTCCATGGGAAATGTTGCAGGGAGATCACGTGTCTCTAAAGAAGATGCCAAGAAGCCAAGAACGCGTTAGCTGCTGGTAGGAGAGCCTTCATCTGCTCTTCACAGCTATTTTTAGAAAACAATTGCAGCATTTATCAAACTCTACAGAGAAAACACTGTAAATGTTGGAACTCAGAATTTCGCAACTGGAGGAATTTAGTAGATGAGAATTGGAGAAGGAAGTACTAATTGTAGAAAAATACCAATTTGTTTATATAAATAAAGTATACCTGTATTTGAGGTGCCTAAATTATAAGAGTATTTAAGACAATTTGATAATAAAATATAATGAAGATTGTGAGTTTTTATAACTTTTTAGCCTATGATCCGTGATATTAGGTTAATATTTCTTTTTGAAGCATTAACAATGAGATTTTTTTCCTGAAAAACAGCAATTTCCTTTGTTTCCTTCCATGAGTTTTCCTGTGTTCTTTCATAAAAGAGGATGATATATTGTTTTAATTTTTTGTTTTTGATTTTTTTATGTTTTAAAAAATCTCTATTAGTAAGTATGTAAACTTTATGTTGTTTCTAATTGTTTCAGAAGTACATCTGGATAATCTTTACGTTTTTTTTTTCCTTCTTTGAAAAATGTTTGCAGGAGAATAAGTCAAAAAGAAATGTGGTCTCAGTCATTTTGACCATTTTCAAAAGTACAGGAGTTGCAATATAAAATGAGCATAGCCTTCCAGAGCTAGAATGAGCTGTTTCAGGTTTACAGAGTTCATAAAATGGTGACCACATGCAGCCTTCAGTTTAAGGAGTTTCTGATCTGCTGAACATGTATGGGCAGAACACAGCTGTCTGTCCAGCCTCACCAAAGCTTGACATTAAAAAAAACCACTCACCACTGGCGATGGGGAAAGTGCAATGTTGCCTATTGATGCCTTCAGTTCATCCACCGTTGCAGCGTTCTTAAGAATGTCTTTAGATTGCAATGGCTTAATCTTGATGTTAAATTTCTTGTGTGATTCTTCTTCCTCTTCCGATTCGCTCGAAGAATAAAAGTGCTTTCCTTTGGTAGGTAGAACACAGTTAAAGATACATGACTCTTTTTTCTACTGGGAGGCAATGGTGAGTATAAGAAAGAGCGATCGTGCTGGGAGTCAGTGGAAGTATCTGTAGATAGCAGAAAATCAAAACAAAACAAACAAAAAATTGAAAGTAAAGCAGGAAAGGGTTAGAATTTATTCCCCTTTCCTTGGAACACGGCTAAGGGTGGTGAATTTCAAGGCCCACGTAAATGTCCTCTTCCCATGGAGAGAGCAGGGCCACTCTGAGGACAAACTGTGATGAGTTTTAAGTGCTTCAGGGTGTGACCTGCTCTCTGAGCAGAGAGAATCTGTGGGGAAAACATAAGTAAGGACTGTTTTCCAGCCACCATAAGTGGCATTGCCACATCAGGTTTTAGCAGACAACCCAGTACCTACAATTTGTACAATTGTTTTTCAGCACAATTTTCTCCTCCTCCTCTCTCTTTTCTATGAATAGATCAAGGCAGAATGCCTGCTTGTTAGTGATCAGGCTGTTCTCTGTGCTGTTTATTCATCTCTAATACTAGGGCAGCTTGGGTTTCAGCACTTTTACAAAATCGATATCTGTCATAGTGCTTTCTGAGAGAAAGCCAAAATTCCAATTAAAAAAATAAAGAAAGGATATAGCCGGGTTCCTCAGGTCTGATGCTGTAGCCTTCTTCATCCAGCTCAGGTGAGTTCTATAAAATACAAGTGCACATTAAGCAATTATTATCTTGACAATGATAAAGGAATGATTCATTTTCCTTCAAGAGCCTTCTACTTAAGGATAGAGACATGCCTCCTTATTCTAGGAGGTGAGGATTTTAACTTTTGGAGGTGACTGCTGAGCAGTATGTGTTTAGATATTCACCCAGAGATATTTGGAAAGTCTTCCTACTGGGAAAAATCAACTAGGGATCAACTGTCAATGAAAGAAAACATTCAGAGAGAATTTATCACACATTTCCTGTAAACCAAGGACTAAGTTAAGCAACATGGCGTGTGTGTAGAGGGGGTACAAAGTGCAAATTATCTTTTGTCTGTATTTTGGTCGGAAAAGTTAAAAAATATGCAAGCCACAAAACATCAGTGATAGAGGAGTTTGAAAGGAGAGGAAATTAGTGAGGTTTAGAAGAGTCAGGGAGTCTACATGTACCTCTTGGTCCAGATGGATCGGGCAGAGGGGAGTCAGAAGTAAGGAAGAGGTTGCACTAAGGCACCAAGGCAGGAATGGGCAGTATGGTTCGTGTGGGGAAAGGCAGAGGTAACAGTGAAGATGACATGCCTGGAAAGGAAGCTGTGTGGTGGGAGACCCTAGAAAATAAGACCGGTGGGCCAACATGCTGGGGGAAGAGCCTGGACAGGATACAGTTACTGCAGCTTCTCAACTAGGGGAGGCCATGCTGAAAGCAGAATCTGCAGGTGTTGGAAGTACACTTCAGGATGCATTGGGGACAGCAAAAGCTGTCCTTATAACAGAGCCTCCCCAGTGAGGTTGTAGCTGGAAGTTGCCTTCTATGAACCAGAAAGGGGGCACTCAACCAGACATTGAACCTGCTGGTACCATGATCTTGGACTTTCCAGACTCCAGAACTGTTAGAAATAAATGTTTGTTGTTTATAAGCCATTCAATTTTTGATATTTTGGTATGGCTGCCCAAATGGACTAAGACATTACAAAACCAAGGCCCAGACATTAATTGACTTGCTTCAATATTCAAAGCTGCTTAGAAGTATAGCCAGAACTGAAACATCTGAAGTTAACA